AAGGACCCCACAGCCAAGAGACAACTGAGGCAAACAGTCTCTCCTCTGCTCACACCCAGGTCGATGTGAGACTGACGGCGGGGACCGCGGTGCATCACCTTGCCTTTCGGGGGCAGTTCTTCAGGCTAGCAATAAACTGTCGCCTGTGCTTAGGATCTTTCCCCACCCTGGGGCCTGACCCGAGCGTGCGACACTTTCTCACCTGGACCTTATTCCCCTGAGCTCCCTCCGGGTAGCAAACCAAGCTACCAAACAAGCAAACAAACGAGCCTGTAAGTCTTCCCTTCTGCACATGCGTAAGCATCTCTAGTGCCCACCCCGGGCCCTTTTTCACCTTGGAAAAGAGCAGCTGGGGCAGGAGCAAGCACAGGACAGGTATACCTTGTGGGCATGAGGTAAGGTTGGGTCAACAGGGAGCTCCAAGTCCAGTACTTGAAACCTGCAGCTGCCCAGAGTTATTAGTTAAGATGGAGAACCATATACATTTGCTTAATAATTAATGATTGAGTGATAGACAGACAGACAGAAAGAGGCATGAAGGGCTTATTTTATTGGTGACTGATGGACACATTTCTTTGAAACTGCCTGCTGACCAAGATAGATGTAGTGACTGCCTGGGCCAACTACTGTACTTTTTCTTCTTCTCCACTTAGTAAAGCTTTTTTCCCGCATTCTGTCTCAACAAGAATGAGAAAACTGCCAAACAGCTTTTATCCTTGTGTTAAAATGCTTAGCCTTGGACTGTTGGTCAACCACCACTGGAGATGCGTAGAGACACAAGACCTACCTGGGTCAGGCACACAGTATGACAAAGCCTGGAAAAGTATTTTTGCTGAAGTAGACTAGATGGACAGAAAACTTCTCCAGCGGGCCGTGGGCAGACCCAGCATGCAAAAAGAGAACACCGAGAAGAGCACTGCAACACATCAAATTCAAAATATTTTTCAGAAGAGGCAGGTCTCCATGCGTCTCAATGCAATCCAACCATTTGGCCTGCAGCCTCATAATTCTGCCACGTATTTGAATCAAAAGCTACTTGGCAATTAGCTCTGATTTCCTCCCAGAAAGGGCTTACTCAAAGTAATCTCAGACTTTGGAGAAAATCTCCTCTGGCAATCAATCCTCTTACATAGCAAAGTGGTTTGTTTGAAGGCCTCCTACTGAAGGACATCACCATCTTTCTTTCTTTCTTTCTTTCTTTCTTTCTTTCTTTCTTTCTTTCTTTCTTTCTTTCT